CTTCAGCAGCCGCAATAAACCAGTATACCCTAGATCTATTGAGCCTAGCAGAGACTAGTTAAACAACCTGAGACTAGATAGTATAAGATTAAGATTAGGATCGGTATTAGACTAAGAAGTTGCACGAATCTATCCGGCCGAAAATAAGATAGCGTGACGAGCAGACGGTGTACCCTATCCGAAATTACTCTATGAGTTATACACTCAAGACCTAACTCAAAAGAGACGCTCAAAAATAAGTTATCGAGTTTAAACGAAATTTGTTTGTTTTTTGTGTTTTTTTTTCGATATGCTGCATTCATGGAAAATGAAACAAACAAGGCTCAAAATGTTTGACACAAAATATTTCTAGGAGGTTTGTTCAATAGAAAATTACAGCTAGAGTCATAAATGAGGCAGATGATGAATAGGAAACTATCAAACGTTTTGCAAAAAATCTTTAAAAAAACTCCTTAGTTTTGTTTTTAGTTTGATATGAAATGAAGAAAGGGTTCAAAAGTTGTCAGCTTGTCAGATTGTGGTTTTTAATGAACGTTTTTGTCTATCATAAGCCCGTAAAGCAAGAAGTAGCTGCGCTGAAAATATTCGTTTCAATTTACGCAAGTTAATGGGTCCTAATGTTTGGTAAGTAAGCGCGGAATAGATCACTCTTCAAATGAAAACTTTCGCGGTAGGAATTTTGGAACAGCAAAACTTAGTTTTCGACAAAATTGTTTTTAGACAAAACTTTTCATTAACAAAAAATTGTTAATGAGCCGACGGAAATTTTAGGGCTTTGCACCGGTAAAAGCAGGTTTGCTTCGAAGAAAGTGGTAGAATATTTGTGCTACTGGTGTGTTTTCTTCTCTTCAGACAATTATCATTTTTAACCAGCCTTTTTCAAAGGATTATATTTTATTTTTTATTTAGGACGAATTTTTAAAACGTTAGGGGCGTGAATATTGCCAAAAGAACAATTTGGGAATTGATGAGCAATATATTTTGACCGATTAAACCGTTAGCAGCGAATCAAATTGCTCCAAAAATTAATGTGTAATTACTTTTTTCGGAATTAGGTTTTTTCAACTTGCAATTTTTGAACAATTTTGCTTATATTATCTAACAAATAGTAATGCCTTGAGATTATGTAAAAATCACCTGCGTCAGGACATTTGAAAAGTTATGGGTTTGGTTAAATTTGAATAAATAACGCCTGATTTATTTCATCTTATTGAACTGTGAGCGACAAATTCAATAAGTCTAAATTGAATTGAGGCAGGCAATTCGGTTATACGAAAACGATATTGCAGTATTACAGGCAAAACATATCACTTCGTTTTTAGCCTAAAGTATTGGGGATAAAAGAGAGGAGATGTTTTTAAAAAGCTATGTTTTTGTTTTTAAACGATTCATTAGTTCTTTCAGCATAATTGTTTCATTGATGGTAAAGGGCAGTAGGGAATTGGAATGCTTTGCCCAGCCACACGATCTTCTTTCGAAGAAATTCGCCGATTAGATAAAAAGCGATGTAATTTTTTCAAACTAATTTTTGTTTAAGATTTAAAAAGATATTTTAATTTGGCGGTAATTGTTTTTGTAAAGTATCAGAAAACTGAAAATCGTATATTTGGTCAGTTTGAGACATTTGACGCGGCTCAAAAATTGAAACAAACAACTTGGTTCAAGTGAGATGAGATATTACTCCACGCTAAAAGCTTCACTTTGTATTCAATATTTCGTGTGCGGATCCTCTTCTAATCTGAAAAGTGTAGGCTTTGAAAAACTTTATGAAATAGTAATCAGTTCTAAACTATTTGGGGATAGCCGGTTGGTGTGCATGTAGCACAGACTGTTCCGATTATATTCTTACAAAAAGTAGAACAACGTTTTTTCTACACTTTTCTTCAAATTAATGTCAATTTTAGTGGGTGGTGTGATCTGATAACAATACGATTGCATTGAGTTTTAGTGAAAAAGGCAATATCATTAATTTTTGTCTGCATAAAAAGAATTCTGACCAGACAAAAATTTGAAATATTTGCTAAAACAATCTCTAAATTCTTGCACAAAAATTTTAATTCTTTTTTAGATTTTATTTCCAAAAAAGCCCTAAATGAAGCTAAATTAATTTTAAAAAGTACATTTCCATAGAACGAGCGTTACTCGATCGTGTTACTTGCTCGAATCTGGACTAAATCTCAAAAATGTTAAACCACCGCGACGAGTTTTTGAAAAAATAACTTATATATCACTCGAAATATTCCGATGATTATATATTTTGTTGGTTTTGTGTGGAAAACCAAAAAAAAATTAAAACACACCCAAACATAAAGTTGTTCCGCATTTCCAATGGTCGAAAAAAAATGATTTTAAAGACGCTTTGTCCGTATATACAATCAGTTGGCATATTTGCTTGTTCTTAAAATGCAAAGGTGTGCGCTTCCTAGTTTTCCTCGTCTTGTTTTCATGATCTCGCCAATTTGAGAATTGTATTTATAGGGACAACTTTGAGATGCATCGAAATTTAATCAATTGTTTACAATAGAAACATAGTATAACACCAATTTAAAAAATAGCTTAGCTTCTGGTGACTGAAATAAACCCAAATCTGTTTTAAAATGTTAAATTTGGAGTTAGTTTCAAACAAAAGTACTCAATGACAATTGTTTTAGATCATGAAAAATTGGTAACATTTGGTTTATGTACATGTGCAGTTGGTAAGTTCCTACGCATCTTTGGGCTGTGGTGGGTTGGAGTTTGTGAAATTGCTTATTAATATATAATTTTTGGCTGACCATAACAAAGATTTTATTTGCAAAGGCCCCTTGGGAGCCATTATGAAAATGCATTAATTTTTCAATTTGAGGGGAATACGCCAAAAAAACGCTATTTTTTGGTCAATAGTTTTAGAAAACGAGCCTAAAAACGGTTTTCTTTTCAAAAATTTTTCTAAAAGGCGCAGAAAAATCTGTCAAAAAAAGGTATCGCAAATTATTGCAAATTGACTTTTCGGCTTCTCCTAAAGCATTTAAACGACCCTGTTTTGGTAAAAATTTCTCCGCCGCAGTCAAAATTTTGAAAAAACAGGCCAACACAGGCAATTTGAGGCACTTTTTGAAAATTTTGGACCAAAAAATTGCGCTTTCCGAAGGCGCATTCACAGAATTTTTAGGGTCCGTCGCCAAATATGGATAAATTACGAAGGCGCCTTTGGAAAATTTTTAGGGTCCCTCACCACATATGGATACCTCAAAATAGTACAAAGGAGGGACCATCGCCCCCTCCCCTATCCCCCTAAATCCTCCCCTGTAAGGAGATATCAAATAATGTCGCGAAAAAAGCCAATTTATGTATGTTTCCGCAGCTTTTTAACTCTTACCAATGAATCTGCCCTTGGTTTGGTTATGATCAACGAATTAAAAACATGAAACGGTTTTTTTCATTTTTCCGACCATTTAAAATGGGGAGGAACTTTGTATTTGGGTGTGTATTCGTTTTTTTCTTTTTTATCTTTTCCACGCAAAATTAGCTTCCACAAATAATCATCGAACTGAGTTGAGTGATATATAATAACGAAATTTCTTCCAGTCGTGATTATACTAACAATTCCGAGTGTTTAGAAAAACCATTTTGCCGCCATTTTAGAAACCAATATTCGAAAAATCGAATAAAAATTCTGCAAAAAATTAGTTTTTTAGCAAAAAGTTCAGCAAAAAAACTGAATTGGTTTTTTATTTTTTGTTCGAAATTTGTATTATTTACAAAGTAACTGGCTATTCCTTTTTATTTCTTCCTGTTCACTAAAAACGAGCAATATCAATCAATCAGAACATATTCATTTCTTAAGAGAATGGTCAAATTCAAAAGTTTTCAGAATTCATCTAAGCAGAGAAGGTAGTTTTGAAAATAAAATGAAACAATGTATTTCTTATTAGCCTTATTTGTACTTTTATTATTATTCGCTCAATCAACGCCTTTTTATCAAAACTTATTTAAGGTTTCTCTTTTATTTCAGGTCTAATCACGTCTGATAAACTTCATTTTTTATGAACCGACCCTATCTATTTTTTTTAATTATTATTCGCTCAATCAACGCCTTTTTATCAAAACTTATTTAAGGTTTCTCTTTTATTTCAGGTCTAATCACGTCTGATAAACTTCATTTTTTATGAACCGACCCTATCTATTTTTCATAGATGACACCGAGGGAGGGGCGTTTTTAGGCAGGTGCGCTTTCCTCTCCCATCGGGGATAACACCTCCTGGCCACCAAAAGTCCCCCTCACCCTTCTTTGGTACTATTTATACGATATCTAATTTCGACCCAGCAACCCTGCATTTGTTAATGTGCCTTTGGCGCCAAAATATGCTAGTTTTGAGGGAAAGGATGTTGAGCGCACCAAGAAAACCCATTTTTTTGGTCAAAATTTTCCAGAAAATGTCTAAAACCAGTTTTATTTGATTGTTTTTATCTTTCAAAGTTTTGTCTATCCGCAAAAAGTTTCCGCGGCAAAATGTTGTCTTTATACTGTTTTGAGAGAGCTCATTATACCAATCCTAGATCGACCCTTGATGAAAATTGAGTTTCCGTCATACAACTTGTTTTCAAAATGCCTCCTCGTTTTAAGGAGTCGGACAAATCATTAAGTAATATGATATTTTCTGCAATTTTTTTTAAATTCCGAAACAACAAAATCGTTACTTTTTTTCTTCAAAGTTTTGTCTTTATTTGGGAGTTAGTACGAGGTGCAGAAATTTGTTGCAGAAAAAAAACTGTTTTTGGTGTTCAAAGTTAAAACGCATCAAACTAAAACAAAGTTTTAAGTTAGATTTCATTAACAACCATGTTGAAAGTAGCTTTTGTTTTATTAACTTCTGAGAGAAAGCCTGCTGAAATGCTGATCTTGTAGTCATCGGAATGAAACTTGTGCCTGTCCGCTTAAATTAATGAAGTGATTTGTCCTTTCAAACTTTTTGTTATATTTTTCACAAGACTTGTCTTCATACTTGCTTACGTTTTAGATGACATTCAAATCACGCTGCGAGGAAAGCAGTTCATTTCGTTCAACGTGCCTGAGACTATGGAAGTTTCCTCTGACATAACCACCGTTCGGTTCCGCACTTTCCAATCCAGTGGACTCCTCTTCTATGTCGGTCAAAATCCATACAGGTATGCAGTGATGTCCTGGCCATGCCATATATTCAAAATATACACTAATTCATAAATTATACGTATTTTTTTTCCAAATTTTAAATTGCTTTATGTACGTTTTCTTGAACATTCTTAATTGATGATTTTCTGTTCGGAACATTATTTTTTTGTTGAATTTCTACGAGAAGTTGGACTGATTTCTTTTTTCCACTTGGTGAAAATAAAAACTGAAACTACCAATACTAGCTGTATTTTGTTTGCCTCAAAAACTATTCTTTTAATAATCAGTCTAGGTAAAAGGAAAGTTTTCCGAGCTGAATATACTTTGGCAGACTAAATAGCGTAGATAAGATTGTATGTGAAACACAAAAACATACAATTATTACCCAAATATGTACACTAGAAAACAGACAATTTGTTTCTAATTACGATTCGTGCAGTTCGAAACTAAAAAAAGTGATTTCTCGAATGATGAAAAGTTAGATATGTTCTGGCATTATTTTTATTATTTATTATTATATAACACCTCCCCCTTTGCAAAAAAAAAATTATGCCAAACCAAAAAGATCTGCATTTTATAGAAAAGTAATTTAAAAAAGAATGACAGATAGGTATGTTCAATTCATTATTTTTATGAATTATAATAAAAAAATACCTTCCCCTATTACAAAAAAAAACAAGAATGAGTAGAATGGGAACTAGATCCGAGCTAATTTGATTTGAATATTACTTTTACTATCACTTTGACTTATACTGTGATGACGTCATAGGAGTGGGGACTTCATGCAGCTGGCACTCAGAGATGGATCTATATACTACAGTGTCAACCTGGGCTCCGGCACCGGCTCCATTGCCATCAAGCCAGGAAACGCCGCCTACAACGATGGCAACTGGCACAATGTCGTGGTCGTGCGCGAGGGCCAAAAGGTAAGCTGAATTCTGATTAATTTTTCGATTAATAAATTGTTTTCAGGCTAGTATTTCAATAGTGATTGTTATAAGAACAACATTTACAACCATTAAACATTAGCCTGAGAGATAGTCATGAGACATTCTGGTCCGTTTTCAGACTTCTCCGTGCGGAAAATTAAGATTAAAATGTCGCCTTGATGATTTTATTTCAGCCTGTAAAGTATTGAGTTTATTGAAAACTAACCAAACTAACTAGCTGAAGCGGGGGCAAAACAGCGGCTGAACTAACCATTTCGTATGTTGGTCATTTTCCCACGTCGGTAAAGCAGTCCTAATTTAAATTCATCATCCACCCCAAAACCAACCCTGCCCCTGCCAATAGATCCCTCCGAATAGAAAACTATGGCTATCATTAGGGGCGAATTTAGGGGAGGGGGTGGATTGCTGGACGCAGCAGGAATTCGATCCCTTCATTACCCGAAGGGTCACCCTTTGGTATTATTTTTATGTCATACGCTATCGGCCAACCGATCCTAAAACTGGATATTTTTTCAAAACCTTACAAAATTTCCCAAAAACAGACTTTTTGGCCAGGTTTTCTCAAAAATTCTCAACGAATGTTTTTATGCTAATTTAAAAGAGCTCGGAAAATCAATTTGCTCGACCGAAAAAAAAGCCATCCAAATTTTCCAAAATTTTTCAAAACTCGCCACCCTCACCCCCTTCCTCCCTCGAGAAAATCCTAGATCCGCCCTGGCTATCATTAGAGGAGCATTGTTGGAATGTTTTTATGAGATGATAGTAATAGCCCGTATAATTTTTTGTTAGTGCATATTTTGGCTGAACTACTTTGTGTATAAAGTCACTGCGACTTTGCCTTTTGGCGATTGTATTTTTCTAAATCTTAGGTTGTGTATAAGTTTTTTTCCAGTAAAATTGTTAATCCGGATACTTTTCTAAAGAGTTGTTAGAATGATGAACTTCAAATCCAATATCCAAAAAAAACTGATCAGAACTCCATATGCCAGTGTAGTATTTCGAAATACTACACACACACAAAAGACCATTGTCTTAATTGTTTATTTAACGACCCAATTCTAAATTGGAGCGTGCCATTTAAATTAAAGCCTCTTTTCACTAAATCAGATATTGACTGATTTACTCTTATTAGGACTATAAAATCTTGTTTTGAAAATCCACTCCTTTTTAAATACTTGTCCAATTTTTCTCGTTTTTTCATGCTCAATATTTTAAAAGGGCGGCGATTATTAATACGTCCCTTTTAACTTAACTTGAAACAAACTAGATAAATATTTAGCAGTCTTGCCGGCTGCACTGAAATTCTCCTTGCTTTGATTAAGCAGAGGTGCACCTGCAATATGATGCATCAGAGAGAGTAATATGAATTTTTAATAAGACAAACTGAAGGCTGCGGTTTTTAATAAAGGGGACTAATAAGTTGAAGATATTTGATTTGAAAAAATCAAATAAAAACTAGTTGAAAATTCCCTTATTAAAAAGGGAGAACAAAGGAGCAGGTGAAACCTGAATAATTAAAGATTGAATCAGCCGCCGGTTTATGCTTATGAGCAAAAGGACTGGCCTGAAATCTTCAGTGTTTCATTTTGCTCAGTAAGCAGCAAGTCAGTTCTCTTCAGTCAGATCTTTTAAAAATAAATAATTTTTCTTTTCTGCCCTAACACTAAAATTAATCTAGCCCTTTTCACTTATAAAAAGAGAATAAATTCTCATTTTAAGTTTGAAAAATTATAAATCGAGATACTCGAGATTCGCACACCCGAGGAAGTCTGGACTACAAGTACCCAAAGGACTACGGCTAGACGATTCAGACGACCCAACCAGAAGTGCTGACTTGGACAAAATCAAGGGCAACCATACATACTAATCAGCCACCGACCTTAGTAAGAAGATAAAATATTGATGAACAAAATAAGATTAGCTCAACCTCCCCTCATAGGTATATTTCTTTAAGCTGTTCGATTCATTTATATAATCTAATAACCCAGTGCTCTGTATCTAACCAACTAATTAATTCATACCTTTTCTAACTATTGTTTCTACTCTACTTTTTGTCAAGACAATTTGACGATCTAAGGTGAGACTTATAATTTAGGATAAAATTACTAAGCATTCAACCAGCAATGAGCGCTTAGTAAAACTGGTGCGACCGCAGCAGAGAACTACTCCTTAAGAAATTCTTTTTCCAACAAGCTCGAAACAGCTTTTAAAATTCAAAAAAATATATTAATATTAGGATCTGTGAGTATTTGCCAGATTAGTTTCCAACCTCAAAAAGCCAGAGACAATGGGTATCTTTCGATAGAAACACAATTTCATTGTCTTCTACTTGACAGATATTCCTGGTAGGGTTCTTGCGAAATGCATCCCCTGCGCTAGCAGTCGCCCACGATATCCCTCCATCTCGAGGTCTATTAGACGGCTTTCTAACTGACATTAGCTCATGAACTTAACTATTATCTATTATTATAATAATATATAAAATTTCTGAAAGATTCGTTCTCTGCCTAAGTCCGCTAGTAAGATATACCCGTTTTGTCCAGTAATCCACTAAATTTTTGCCGAAACTTCAGTTTAAAGTTATCATCACTAAAAGTAACGAAATTCTCTATTAAACTAAAGTGCTCAAAAATTTATTAAATATCTTCAATTATTTTTTCGAGGGGGTTAAGTGGTCATATGTGCGATCTAAGAGTACCCTAAATTGAATGATAAATTGAATTCTTCATCACATTATCTCAAACCAACCACGCTTGTTGCTATTTATTCTAATCCTTCATCAATTCTCGAGGCTTATCCTCAACTTTTCTTAAACTCATTTTAATTCTATCCACCTTAACGTAACTTAAACCTAAATCATCCATCAGTAAAGCTACCAATTACTGAAACTAAGGAAGAAAATAACAAAAACCAAAAAGGAAGGAACGGATTTGAGTGTTTTTAATAAATCATTAGTTTTTTTTGACACAGTTTAAATATACACCTAATTAACAATAAGATTACGCACTAAAACCAATCTTAAACGTTAACCACATAACACCAAACACCAAGTTTTAGTTTCAGCACAAAAATATCAGGTTTCACAACAAAAACTAAGTTTAAAACACTGACGCATCCACTTTATATTGATAAAATAGGTTTCATATGATAGTATAAGCACTAAAAAATTGATTTTTACCAGCCAAAATTTTTGGTTTCAGTCTAGGTTTCAGTTTTAGGGTCAAACGTTTTAGTTAAAATAAGTATAGTTTCCGGTCAAAATTTTAAGTTTCTGTAAACGGATTCGGGTAAAACAGCAAAAGTTGAACTAGTCAAACCCAAATTTGGATACCATAAGTCAAAAACCTGGTCTTAAATGGTACGTTTTTGTTAGTTTCAGGTTTCAGAACACAAAAATTGAGTTTTTGGTCTCAAAACTGAGCTCCGAACGCCGAATTTTGACTTTCTAGAGAAAACTAACGGTGTTAAAACCCACCAAACCAATTTTAAAATTTGGTTCCTAAGGCTGAAACGTACGTTTCAGAATTGTTGTTTTTGGTTTCAGACCCAAAAATCTTGCTTCCCAAGTGAAATTTTTGTGAAATATTGAAAGATAATAGGAATCCTTAATGCACTAACAAATTTTTAAACTCAAAAAACTTCTAGAAGGTGTTGGTTTGAGCCCTCAAACTTATAGTTTCAGAAAACTAAAATCGTCGTTTTAGGCTAAAATTTTCATCTTTTTGGCAATTTTATTGCTGAAATAGAAATATATTAGAAAGACCAACCTAAATTTCCAATCTCAAAACTCTAAAACCAAGTGGTCAAACCATAGTTTCAGTTCTAGAAATCATAGTTTCAGCCCCAAAAACTTAGGTTTCCGCAAACAAATTTTTGATTTTGAAGTTACAAACCTGTTCAAAATTCTAATTTACACTAGACCAGCCATCAAAAACCAACTTTTTATTTTCATGCACCGAGTTTGAGAGAGTTTAAGAGTTTTAGGTTTGAGTTTTCAAAAACTAAGATTAAGATATCAAAAGATTCGGTTTTCTCGAAATTTTTTTGCAAGATAAAGCAAAAACCAGATATTATAAAGCGTATAGAAAATTTTAAGATTAAAAAAACTCAACTTCAGCTACCATAGTTTCAGGTTTCAGATTATCGTTTCAGTCAAAAAAAATTTCTAAAAATTTTTAACAAAAAAAATTAAGCTTTGAACCAATACTAACCAATAAAGGCATATAGTTGTATTGTTAACCATACCATAGCATCAACAAAACTTCACTTGAACAAAGTTTCAGGTTTCAGTTAAGGTTTCAGCGAATAAAAAACTTGAAAAACCTAGAAAAAATTTTAGAAAATTTTTTTTCCAAAGAAATTTTTTTATTTCCTTATCTTATTATTAATAACCTTTGTTAATATTCAAAAATTCCCAAGAGGTTTTCATTACTCTAAGAAATACTAATCAAATAGTACAACTTGGTTTATGGAAAAGAAAACAAACATCGTGAAATTAATGTCAACACATTTTAAAATTGACGTCAGTACAATAAATTTAAAACTCAAATTAGGAAATAAAGTCTCTAACATCATATGGTATATCACTAACACTGAGAAAGATCATATTAGTATACTAGCAAAACACCCTAACGACGATAAACACGAATTATACGTCTTTTTTCGACGATACACTCCAGAAATTGACACAATTCGTCAGCAAATAAAAATACCAAATAATATAATTTGTATACCGGAAGAGCGATTAATTGCTTCACTCCCGATTGCTTTTTGATATCATAATTTACCCAAGCACAAAACTACTTGCTTTTTAATCATTTTTTATTAAAAACAAAAAATTTTCCTTAACAAAAATTAAAAATTATAACAAGTTCATAAGAAAAAATTTAAATATTTTTTATATTGTTCATCATTCCCTAGATAAATATTTATGTCCCTAAAAGGATGTAAAATGCTATGACCAACTTTTATCAAGT